TTACATAAAATTTTGCAGTATCTTACAGGAACAGGAATGTATGTTAATCTATTAATATTATTAGGAACAGAAAATGTAAGAGAATAAAGATGTAAAAGTAGAGTTGAAGAAATAAAAAAAAAACCCTGTTAATTAGAAATACCATTATGAATCCATGGATCCCTCTCTCCCCTCCTCCTCCTTCTTCCCTACTTCTGTCTTGGAAGGGTCTGAAGGCAAGGACAGTCTCAAGCCACAATGATTTATGCTTACCATCCATGTTACAGTTTCTAAATAGTTCTGGGGGCTGGGAAGGTGGCTCAGTGGTAGAGCGCTTGCCTTGTAAGCATGAGGCTCTGGGTTCGATTCCTCAGCACCACATAAGCAAAAAAAGAAAAAAAAAGCCGGAAGTGGCGCTGTGGCTCAGGTGGTAGAGCGCTAGCCTTGAGCTGAAGAGCTGAGGGATAGTGCCCAGGCCCAGAGTTCAGGCCCCACGACTGGAACCAAAAAAAAAAAAAAAAAATAGTTCTATACTGCAAGACCCCAAGGCTTCTGGGAAAAATAGGTGATTCTAGTTTTGGGGAATGTATAGCAAGTGAGAAAACAAGTTCCTAAAAATGTTATTGGTTACATTATAAGAACCCAAGGAGTTCTCAGTGGCCAAATTAACTCATGTGCTATAATAATAAAATAAAATAAAACTGCTATGAAGCAGTTTTATTTACAGCAGCCAAACGGTGGCAATAATGCAAATGTCTATGATAAAATGGACACACACACATATATATTTATATATTATTTAGCTGTGAAAATGAATGGGATTTTGGTACATGCTATAAGAGATGAAACTTGAAAACATTGTGTTAAGTGAAATAAGCTAGAATGAAAACAAATATTGCATCATTCTTATATGAAGTACCTAGATTCATAAGGTCAGGAGTTTCATGGAGGGTAATATTGAGTTGGAGGGGGATGGGAAATTTTGCTTTTTGGTATAGAGGTTTTTTTTTTTTTGAGATGATGAAAGCAGTTGTATACTTAAAAATGGTTAAAATAGCAACAAATTTTGTGTTTACATGTCTTACTGTAACAAGCAGTTCTAAAAAGTATTTGTGAAGAAAATTCTCCTTGGAGTGGTTAACATTTTTATTCTTTGCCATGGATTTGAATATATATTAAATAAAAACCATGCATTTGGAAATATAGCTATATAAGTGAAAAATGACATCAAAGGAGAATTTATATAATTTAATATAATTGAGGTAGTAGAGGAAAATTTTATATGATTATCTTTTCTGTTTTATGTTAATTTATAGACTAGCTATTTAAATTTATAAAATAAAAACTTTTCCCTCAGTATCATACAAAGCATATACACACTAGCAAATACGTGCACACACATACATCTCTTAGAAAAATGTTTTTTTTTTGACCCTATAGAAAGTAATGGAATTTGAAAGTTTCTGGTTTCTTGAGTTTGTGGGCACAGAAAAAGAGGTGAACAGGACAAATAATAGGCACAATGAAATGAAATAAAAATGTGAGGAAGCAAAACTGGCTAACACTGACATAACATTTGAACATGTAGTGGTTGAGAATTTGTGGTGTATTTTGGGACTTATTTTCTAATTTTAATTTTTTTTTTCTAAACTTAATATTTCCTCTGTTCTTTTGTATTTTTTAAAGATGATAGTGCATTTTCAGTGTTTAACTTTATAAAGTTTCCAATTGCCTATGATATTTTAATTATGTGTTCAAAAGAGGGTAGAAAAGAAATAACAAACATTAGGTGACATGATTCTTACAGCTGCTGATACTCTTCCAAATACCCTCTTTTGGGGCTTTTATTTTTCTCTCATAGTGACTCTTTTATTTGAAATTAGAGTTTCATTGCCAAGAACTTAGAAGAATCTTGAGATTTTTATCCTTGCTTACAAGCTAGTAAATTACACAGCCCATAAAGACAGGGGTGTTGGTATAAGATAGAAAACTCCAGAGTTGGCTGGGAAGATGGCTCAGTGGTAGGGCGCTTGCCTTGCATGCCTGAGGCCCTGGGTTCGATTCCTCAGCACCACATAAGCAAAAAGAAAAAAGCCGGAAGTGGCGCTGTGGCTCAAGTGGTAAAGCGCTAGCCTTGAGCTGAAGAGCTGAGGGACAGCACCCAGGCCCAGAGGTCGGGCCCCAGAGCCGGACCCCACCCCCCCAAAAACAAACAAACAAACAAAAAACCCTACCCCACAAAACTCCAGAGTTGATAGTGAAGGACAGTTTTTATCAAAAATTGCAATAGCGGTAGTCAAAATGTATCTTCTTCCTTATCACTTCTTCCTCTTTGCTCTGCTTTGCAGCCTGGATTGGCCTGAAGCTCTTGATCCATTTGCTTTCACTTTCCAAGGGCTGGGATTAAAGGCAAGCTCTCTGCCCTCCCCCCAACACAAAGTGCTCCTAACAAATGCTTGTAAGGTCTTTACTGATAGGAATTTCCTGTATTACTTCATTCCTCAAGTTTATGTCACTATTTGTGCCTTTTCTCCCTTTTTCATTTTACAAGTTCGTTAGTCTTGTTAGGGGGATTGTTGATTTGTTTTTTTAAGCTTTCCAAGAACCAGCTATTTTTTTTTTCTGTTTTCACTTCTTGTTGTAATCCATTCATTTTTTTCTTCATCATTGCTTTTCTGCTGCTTGCTTTGAGTTTGTCATAGTCATCTTGAGTCCAGTTTCATGAGATAGAAATAGTGATTAAGACCTCTTCCCTCTTCTTCTTCCCCCTCCCCATTTCTCCCTTCCCATTGCCCGCTCCCCCTCCCTACTTCTTTTTCCCCTCCTAGCCCACCTCTCCCCTCTATCTTCCCTCTCCCCTCTTCTGTCCTCCCTTTTTCCCCTCCTTATTGGGGAGACTGGAAGTATTGGACTGGCCTTGAATTTGCAGTGCTGATTTTACTGGGATTACTGACAGGCCATTTCTTTTTCCTTTCTATGTAGGCATGCAGTGCTGTAAATTTCCTTATAAGCAAGCACTGCCTTGACTGCATCATGAACATTTTGATATGTTACACTTTTATTTTCATTTAGTTCAGAATGTTTTCTAATTTCCCTTGGGACTTCTTCGATATTCAAAGGTTATTTGGGTGTGTTGAATTCCTGTATTTGAAGTTTTTTTTAATTTATCTTAGTTACTCATTTCTAGTTTAATTCTGATACAAGTAGATAATATATTTAGTGTTATTTCAAATCTTTTCGGTAAATGTTGCTGTTTATGTAAACTTGGAGAAAAAGTATATTCTTGGAATAATTTGTTTTTGAATGGAAAGGAAAATCTCTTTGTAAGATGAGAAGGTCTTAAATTCTAATTGTAGCTAATGGGGTAATAGAAAAGGGTATTGGGAATTAGAATGCAATCATGTATTGTTAAATGTTGGTATTTTCTGGAGCATTTTTTGGTAGGCAGTTTTATCACTGTGTGAATATGATAGTGTGCACTTAGGCAAACCAGGATGGTGTGTAGATTGATCATTCCATGTGGCCGCTTTGTGTGATTAAGAGAGGTGGTGATGGCTACTAGAAGAGCAGGAACATAATTTAAAATGATTATAAAACTATTGTACTATATAAACCAATAATGTAGTTCTTATCATTTTCAAGCAATATGCAATGTGTATAATTGTGTGTGTGTGTGTGTGTGTGTTTGTTGGTTGTGGGGTCTGAACTCAGGGCCTGGGTGCTGTTCCTGAGCCTTTTTGTGCTCAAGGATAGTGCTCTACCACTTAAGCTACAGGGCCACTTCTGGTTTTTGAATGGTTTATTGGAGATGAGAGTCTCAAGGGGACTTTTCTGCCTAGGATGGTTTTGAGCCACAAGCTTCAGATCTTAGCCTCCTCAGTAGCTAAGATTACAGGCATGAGCCATCAGTGCCGACCTTAGAATTGTGTTTTATACTAATACGTATTGGCAGCACAGTAGGTTTGCACCAGCATCACCGCAAAGTGAGTGAGGTAGTACTCACTGCTAAAACTGCTAATGTTTTACTAGTAGTCAGAATTTTTCAGCTCCATTATAATGTATGTGATCACCTTTATATTTGCAACCTGTCATTGACCAAAACATTGTGGTCATAATGGTGATTTAAACACAGGGAGTTGTGCAGTCAAATGCCGTTACCATATTTAAGTGGGTGTCTTAAGCACTATAAGGCATGAGGTGATTAAGAATAAAAGAATGTGTTGTTGTTTTCAAGTCCAGAGTAAAATGGAAGAGCTTCATAAATAAATATTTTGTTCTTTTATTCTTGAAATTTTTTACTTTGACTTGAAACTTGACTGAAAGATTTGTACTACAAGTTCATTTAAAAATATTTACAACTAACATAAATAGCAAAGTTCATTTGAAAGTTTACACATTTCTTATTATAGCTATAATAAATGTGAAGTTTTTACTGCTAACAATAGATCTAAAAATGTCTCATCTTAATTTTTTTAATAAAAAGAAATGGATATCTTACATTTTCCAACTTTATCGGCTCTCCTTTAACTCTATAGATATCTATTTAGATGCTACTTAGTGAAGTAATGACACTATGTAATAATTTTAAGAAAAACATGAACCTCTGCTACTCTGAGAAACTGTTAGTATTCTGTAGTTTTGATCATTATAATGCTTTAAGTCTGATTTGTGATAGAGCTCATTCCTTCTGTGATCTAATAGACTCTGCCAACATCCTGATAACTTTTAATAGCTTGTGTGTATTACATGTATAGTTTGAATTATTTTTAAGATAATGAAAAGTTTATGCTAAGTTTTCAGTGTGTGCTTTGGGCTTTAAAATGTAAATACCTAGCTAATATTTGGTGGGCCTTGTGCTTACTAGCCACATACTTTACTTACTTGAGCCATATCCTCCCTTCTCCCCACCCCCATGACCCATCATAATGCACAGATTAAATGGAATTCTTGGGTGGATTTTACAGAATAGGTACAACTCTGAAATTAAAGGATTATTTTTATATTTATTTATTTTTTATTAGGGAGTCTGAATCATCAACAAGATTTTTAAAAGGCTGTCTAAATACTTGGTAAGTACTTTCTGTGTAACTGTTTTGCATGTTACATCAATTTTTATATATGCTGCACTGATGTCATTTATAATAGTAAAATAGCAAATTGTATTTATTGTAATTTTTGCCTAGAATGTCTTTTTATAACAATTCTGATCACATGATCCATTCTTTACACCATGTCCAGAAAATTGTTTTGGTATACAGTCTAAATATTAAGTAGTTAGTGTTTAAGAATGGTAATTTATGAATTAGACAAAGTCCCTACCTGAGTGTTTGTAATAGTTGTCTGTTAATTGCTGAAACTTGTTCAGATTTCTTTGGTCATTTTGCTCCTCAGCTCTTTTCCTATATTAGGTCTTGTTTGCTACAACATGGCAACATAAGCTCTATTAGCCTAGTGAGACTTTGTTATTTCTTATTTGGATTATATTGGTGGTGTTGTACTTAGATTAAAATAAGAAAAGTTTTGTAGACTAAAATATGAAACGTTTTGTAGACAGTTATATGTCACACTTGTAATTTTACTAGGTAGCAATTACTTTTTAATGTTTGAGTAAAGGTAAGTGAGTTAACCTCAATATTTATTTTACTTCATTTATGTAAAGTATTTCAGATTTGTGTGCCATAGTAATTATATAGATACAAGAATATGTTTTTATTGTTCATGGTAGATTTTAAAGTAAGTAGATACAGTTAAAAATGTCTAGTGTTTGTAGTTTAAGGTTGTAATTTAAAGTTTGTAGTTTAAATCCCATAATCAGGTATCATAGTTTGTGGTTGTTTTAAATATACTAAAAAATTTAAAGACATTTATTTGATTAGCTAAGGGAGATTTTCTAGAAATATGAGGATAATATTTCATAATTTTTTATGTGTTTGAAACTATTCAACCAAATTCTAAACCAATTCTAAAATTCTATAGTAATTATAGCAAATATTTAATATTCAGAATTACACTATACTATTTAATATATGCTTAAAATAAAGGTAATACTTTTTAGAGCAAATCCCATAGCAAAGATCTATTTTTTAAAATTTTATTGTAAAGATGCCATACAGTTACGTGAGTAAGCCAACGAGTACATTACTTGTCACTGTTACCCCTTCCCTTCCTTCCTTGTTGTCCTGTCCCACTATCCCTTCCCTCTCCCACCTCCCGCGCACTCCTTCCCCAACCCCCGAAGTTGTAAAGTTTGTTTCCAAAACACTGTCCTCTGGGTATCCTTGTTCCTGTTTTTTTTTTTTAGCAAAAATCTCTTGAGCAGATTTTTTTACTACTTTAAAATTCAGTAACTGATTTCTGGAGATGTATCAACTAGAAAAAAGTATACTGTCAATTTTCCCTGACTGCTGATACATTTGAGCTATAACTAATTGTCTTTGCAGTGCATATGCTTGTCATGTATATTTTAGTTAGTAACTTTTTTTTTTGCTACTGAGATACAGGTCACATACCCTAAACTTCATGCTTTAGTGTACAGTTCAGTGATACTGTAGTGTATACATTGTGTGCAGTTAGGATGCTCTTCATTGCCCTTCTCACTCCAGCTGTAGGCAACCTCTGATAGATTTTTGTTTGTCTGGATTTGTTTATTATTTGTTTATAAGCATGGCACCACACAGTGTCTGCCCTTTTGAGCCTGATTTCTTTTACTTTGTGTAATATCTTCAGAATACAGTGTGTATCAGTATTTCATTAATTTTTTTTTTTTGTCGGTCATGGGGCTTGAACTCTGGGCCTGGGCGCTGTCCCTCAGCTCTTCAGCTCAAGGCAAGCTACCACTTGAGCTACAGCACCACTTCCAGTATTTCATTAATTTTTATGACAATAAAATTCATTTTTGTTGATACAGTCAATAGATTGTATCTACTTTTTGTTATTAAGAATGCTTCTGCTGTGAACATTCTTTTATAATCATAATTTCATCATATAATTATAGTTTCATTCTTTTATAGTATTCATATATGTATATATGCATATGAATGAGGTAGAATTGTTAAATGATGTGGTAATTCTTCATGTACCTTCTTAGAAAGAGATAGAAAAGTCCCATTAGGCACAGTATGAGGGCTCCAGTTTCTTTACATCCTCAAGGACAGTTACTGTACTTTTAACCTAGTTGGTGTAGAGTGATATCTTACCTTGGTTTTGCTTTTTTATTTCCTTGATGATGGGGGATAAGCATTATGCCATGTGATTTTTGCCCAGTAATTTGTCTTCTTTGAAGAAACATCTGTTTACATTCTTTGCCCAGTTTTAAAATTGTTATCTTTTAAAAAGTTGAATTGTAAAGCATTTTTTAAAATATGTATTCTGGATAGCAAACCTTTAGGAGGGGGGATTATCACTGCTTTCTTGATGGTAGTTATCTTTTAAAGCATAAAAGTTTTATACTTTAATCAGTTTAGCTTATATTTTTGGTGAAATATTATAAATTTATCTTAACGCAAATATTCATTGCTAGTCTAGGATTATGACAAGGTTTTAATTATCACAGGACCATAAATAAGCATTGGCATTTCCTGTGTTTGACAGCCAAAGCCCAAAGGAAGCAATTATTCTTGTATTTGTGCTTCAGTTATTCAGCTAATTGTTTTCAACAAAACCTTATCTTTGATCCCTTGTGTTACAATGAAAATGCTACTTGTTTATTGTTGTTTTATTAATACTAGTCTTGTGAATTCACTGTTAGTTTTTTGGATTGGAGTAGGGAGGGCCTCTAATGGTTTGGTTTATCCTGATGTGATTTTATACCTTAAGAAATTATTACAATAGACTTAACCCAGGTTTTTCAGTCTACTTAATCTGAAAAGTTTCCTTACCTTTATATTTTATGGTAATGACCTCCTCCTCCCCACTTGCCCCTGGCTCAGTGGTCCTGGGGCTTAAACTTATTTGGGCCTGGGCACTGTCCTTGAGCTTTTGTGCTCAAGGCTAGTGCTCTACCACTTGAGCCATAGCTCCACTTCTGGCTTTTTGTGGTTAATTGGTGATAAGAGTCTCATGGACTTTCTTGCCTGGGCTGGCTTCAAACCATAATCGTCTAATCTCAACCTTTCATAGTAGGGAAGATTGCAGGTATGAGCCACTGATGCCTGGCTGACATTCACCATTTGAAAGAGTTATTTTGTAAAAAGCACAGAATCCTTTGTTGGGATGTGTTATATTTAAAGTTTAATACTTTTCTACTAAAAAAGATTTTTTTAAAACTGGTAATTTGTAAGACAAGTGTTTACAAACCTCTTGTACTTTTTTATATCAAAATATATAATTTCACATTTCACCTTAACAGATTTGCTTTTTCAGTGGATATATATTTACAAGCTAGACATGACAGTTACCATTTGTCTACCACTTGAAAGATAGATGCAAGTCATCCATAGAACTACTGTGAAATCACTGACAGTAATTTTGCTCATCTATTGGAAATGACATCAGTGACAATTCAGAAACATTTTATATTTAGTATCATAAAATGAACAATTTTGGAGTTTTTAATATTTTTGAAATAATTTTTGTAACCCAAACTGTTAATCCTGATGAGGGAAAACACAAGCAAAATTCCTAGAGAATATCAATTTGTTTTGGTTTTAGGATTTTTAAACACTCTTAAAAATTACCAAAGAATGCTGGGTGCTAGTTGCTCACGCCTGTAATCCTAGCTACTCAGGAGGCTGAGATTTGAGGATTTCGGTATAAAGCCCCTGTAAGAAAGTCTGTGAGACTCTTTACCTCCAATTAACCAACAAAAAACCGAAAGTGGAGTTGTGGCTCACTTGGGCAAAAAAACTCAGGGACAGCACACAAACCCACAACAGTCAAAAAGAGAAAATTAGTACCAAAGACTCCAAAAAGCTTTAATTTATACATCTTAATGTAAAGAAAAATAAAAGAAATTTTGAATGATTCATTTATTAAACTCACATGAAAGTCTTGTGTGTTTACACAGCTAACTTTTTTGAGGGGCTGGATAGCTATATTTTCTGAAACAATAAAAAATTAATTAAAACAATGACACTTTTTAAAAAAATTTCTACCAATATATTTTAAATGTGGTTTATTGGAAAACTCTGGATTCTGTGAACCTATGTATTCAGTCAAATAGGATATTATATGCCATGTAGTCTTTGGAAAATTTGTATATTTACCATGTGTTTATGTATAAGTATATATATATATACACCATATACAGATACTTTCATAAATACATATATGAGATTGAACTAAGTAACATCTTGGTATTGTTATAAATAGATTTCATGTAAGGGTCCCAGAAACACCTGGGGTCAACATTTTAGAATAACTAGTCATCTGTTACTGAGTTACTATTTGTGACTTATTTATAGGCTTATGTGCACTGGTTGTTTCTTTTTTGTCCTTGTTGTTGGTTGTGGGGCCTGGACTCTGGGCCTGGGTGCTGTCCCTCAGCTCTTCAGCTCTACAACACACCGCCACTTCTGGCTTTTTGTCTGTTTATGTGGTGATGAGGAATTGAACCCAGGGCCTCATACGTGCAAGGCAAGCACTCTACCACTGAGCCACCTTCCCAGTCCCGTGTGCACTGTTTTAAGATAAAAAAAAATCTTAAAAATTATGTCAGTTTTTTTTTTTTTGCTGCGTTTTTACTTGAGGGGAATTTCTGACATTAGCTTATGTTTGCTAGTGTAATAAATTTGGTCATTGTGGAAGAATGGCCTGTTGCAGAATTGTTTCTACACCTCACTTCATTCACTCATTCATTCATGCAAGGTTGTGCTGAAGATTAAATCCAGAGCCTTGTGGATGCTAGATAAGCATAATTTCACATCTTTTTAGACTACCATTTAACTTACTGAGCCCCATTTTTTGAGTAGAAATTACTATGAGTAGATTGTTAAATTTTAAAGCAAGTTCTTGGCACTTAGAGTTATTTGAAGTTAAGGAGGAAAGCAGCCTTAAAAAGTAATTTAGTGTATTGAAGAGTAATTGTGGTACTTTATTTTAGTGAGCAAATATTAATGTTTCCTCTAGTTTTTAAATATATCTACAATAGATACTTAAATATTGTTTTTTCTGAACGATATTATGCTGTTTTTCTGATGATTTTAAAAGTTTATCGTTGGTTTGTCTTCAAGCTCTATCTATATACATCCTACAAATCAATAGTGTTTTAAATTAGCTGACATGGAAAGAAAATGATAAATAATGAAACTAGCCATATTGCTTACATTCTGTTTTATAGAACTAATTTAAGAGCCAACGGATATTGAAGGTACAAGCATAAGGAGAATAAAGTATTATGAGTCAAGCTATTTCAGAAGTATTCTATACTTTTGAGTCTTCTATTTCATAGTTTTTATTTAGAAACAATGGTGATGCTAAAGAGCTAGTAAAATAAGTTACTTTCATTAGAAGTTGTATGAATTTGGTGGGAGATTTTAATTAATATTTGTCTGAATATGTTAGATACAATGACTTATTTATAGGCTTTTGTTAATTATAAAAATACAAAATCATAAAATTCTCAAATTCTGATCATGCTATAGATTTGTCATCAATATCAGGTTTTAATACTTAGTACCTGTTCTTGAATTAATTTTTTCATTCCTTGTAGTTTCCTTATCTTGCATATTTTCTGGGAGTTCATGGGCAGCAGTAATACCTTCTTCCCTGACATGGATCTGAAAATGTGCAGAATAAAATCATAGCTAGGCTTTAGAAGTTAATTTATTAAATCATATAAGAAACTTACATGGACAGTACTTCATGTTTTCCACAGAGTGTATTCTTTCAATGAAATAGTTTGTGTAGCAGCAGCACAGGAAAAACAGACTTGTGGCAATACCAGCTCAATTGCCTCTGCAGATGAGGATTTAAAATTCTGTGCAGCAGACAGTACCTCTAGCAGGCGAGTAAAAGGTTACTGCATTATTTTGTTTTTGCAGTCCTTATCTACAAAAGGTTTTTTTCTCTTTAATTCAGTGTAAAGTGCAGGCTTGCATTTAGATATTCTGGAAAAAATTGATTTAAGTATAACATGCATATCAAAAGGGCAGTACAAGGTGAAGGCAGAGGCAATCCTAGCATTTTTACTATTAAACCAGGGATGATATTGAACATGAGACAGACACAAATAAGGAACCTTTCAATGCCACAGAAGACAGGAAGTTTTAAAAACACTCACTTAGATTGAAGGTATTTTATTGCTTTTAGTTTCTAGACTGTCTTCCCCAAAATGGGGCTGTTATCAAGAGTTGACATTTACTGAATAGATGTTCATTAGGTTAAGTTATTGAGGTATGATTATTTGTCTTTTATCCTGGGAATTGTAAAATGGATTATAATTACATGGCATTATAAATAATGATCTGTACTTACTTTTGGGAGAGGTGCAATGCTTAACTATAAAAGATACTGGAGCATAGTTACTGCTTATATTTTCAACATGGTTTATTAGGTTTAAAAATTCTAACAAAATGCAAATAACCAAGTGGGAAAAAATTCATCAAGATTCATGATAGCTTTTTGTTTATTGCCAATAGCTATATAACCACTTGCCTATTTCTTCCTTACTAAAACTCTTCTCTCTAACATTTGTCACGCTGGAGGGTTTTCTTGGATTATCTTTCTGTATTCCATTATTATCATTTGCATCGGTATTTTTTGCTATGGACTTTTACTACTCACTACTTCCAAAGTCCTTAGCATAGTATTCAGATAGAATTTTTTACTATGTCTATCTTCAATCACCCTCCTCCCCCTCTCCCACCAAACCTCAAAGTTTTGTATTGGCTACTATCTAAGTTTGTGTTTAACAAACAGGCCCATGTTTCAGTTTTCATACTCAATGTTAGATTGAATAATCAAATAGGAAGTAGTTCTATAAAGTAATCTATAGTATAGAAATAAAATCAGTTTGTTATTCTTACTGTGAGTGTTTGACAGGCTTCTTGAATTGTAGAGTCATAAGAGGTCAGCAGTTCTGATTGGTAAGTTAAAAGAATCCATCCAGTAATTTGCTCCCTGTTGTTTCTCAGAGCATTGCTGCAGCAGTTCTTTTCCAGATATTGAACGGTTCTTGAATGGTGTGTGGAGGCAGCAAGGGGTGGGGCTCATTCCTGTTGGTTGTTGAAATATTGTGCATTTACAGAGGGAACAGGTTGGATAGGCTGAGCTAAGGAGTAGACAAACAGAGCTAAACTGATGGGAAGCAGAGTGGACAGTATAATTTTGGCATGTCTTGACTTTGTTCCTTTGGGCTTTAATATAAAACAGTTTGAAATATTAAAGCATCTTACCTTCTTAAGAGTAGCCTGGAGACTTCCGTTTTTAATATCCAGATTTTCTTGGCGATGAGTTTGTGGATATCTTCTGTAGGGAAGCTGTTGTTTTACTCTTTTTCTTTTTTTTAGCAGAGTTTCTTTCAGCCAGAGAGCTGCAGAATGAAGCAGTTAGCCAATTTTGAGTATATATGGGACATCACCAGTTCTTATTTTTTAAGTCAAATTCTCATCTAATGAGCAAGTCAATGTGTGGCTGTGGCTGCAGCTTTATTTCTTCTTTAATGAAGAGGTTGAGCCGTTCGACCTGCTGCTCCGATCTGTTCTCTTGTAGCCATACATCAGACCAGTTGCAGAGATTATCCATCGAATGTCCCAGGCAACCAAAGGTAACTACAGAGATTTATTTCAAATAAAAATGTACAATTGAAATGGCTGCATTATAAGTAGGACCAAATGATTAAAAATAAAAAGACCAATTAAAGATGTTCTTAGCAGTTTTCTTGACCTTGCAGTAGCTATCCAATATCATTTTGTCATCATCAGATTGTGTAGCAATGGAAATGCACTGCAGTAATTGATTTTGTAATAGGATCAGGTGATTTACTAGCTGCACTGACAACCACTTGCTTGCTTGCGCTGAGTGGTGGAGCACTCTAATGGATGTTGTGATTGCAGGCTGGAGTTGATGTGAGACTGCTGGCCACTTAAAGTAGCAATGGCATTTATTTTTAAAATCAGAGTAGTTTTTCTTGGTGCTGTAAGTTTTGAGTAGCTCCAGAAGTCTCATATTTGAGTGCCTCCATGAAATTTTAGAGATTATCTATTATTTTAGAGATTATTATTTCACTTATCTTTACAAGTTAATTGGTTTGACTAGCTTTGAATTTAACAAGATAATCTGTTTACTTGATGTTTGGAGCTCAGCATCAGTAAACTTAGTAGTGAGCCAAGAGTACATGCCCAAATACCAGTTTTGTTAATTATTCTTTGTTATCTAAACAAAGTAAAGTATTCCTAGCATTGTTAATTTTACCAGTTTCATACTCTATAATTACAGTATTCAAGGTATGGGAGAAGAAAACTATTTTCTAGCCCTTTTTGATCTTTTGACTTCTTAGTGGTTTCATAGATTCAATACTTATTAATCTGGAGTATTTATTATTGCTAAGTATGTTGGTGAAACCTAGTTATTTTAGAGTCATGTTTTAAGGATATAGTAAATAAATAATTTCATATCCAAGACTATGTAATGCTTCACATTTATTTCCAGTTATTTTAATTTTGTTTTCATCTTTCTCTGTTCCTTTTAAACAAATAATTGCTGACAAATATAGATGTACATACCAGTACCTGGCACTTATGAATGTTTTAAAGATAAGGAAAGATTTTTTATTTTTGTATTTTTTTGGGTTGGTCATGGGGCTTGAACTCAGCCTGGGTGCTCACCCTGAGCTCTTTTGCTCAAGGCTAATGTTCTACCACTTAGAACTACAACACCACTTCCAGTTTTTGAGTGTTTAATTGGGGATAAAGTCTCACAGGGACTTTTCTGCCTGAGCTGGCTTCTAATGCAATTTTCAGATCTCAGCCTCTTGAGTAGCTAGTATTACAGGCAAGAGCCACTGGTGTCTGCTTAGTGGAAAGGTTTCTGTACCTTACCTAAAACCATACAGCTAGGAAATAGCAGAACCAGTGTTAAAGCTGTACTTGAAAATTGTAAGATACTACAAGGTGCCTGTGGCTCATGACTATAATTCTAGCTACTTAGGATGCTGAGATCTGAGGATTGTAGTTTGAAGCCAGCCAGGACAGACTCTTACCTCCAGTAAACTACTTAGAAAAAGCTGGAAGTGGTGCTGTAGCTCAGATGGTAGAGTGCTAGTCTTGAGCAAAAGAAGCTCAGGAGTAGCACCTTGGTACAGAGTTGAAGCTCCAGCACTGGCACCAAAAAAAAAGAAAAGAAAAGAAAAAAAAAGATTGTACTTTTCAAGTATTTACTAACTACAGGTTTAGATATGGAGTATCAGATACACATAATCTGGGTATATACACATGTGAGCACATTCTCTTATTGATTGGTTAATTGATTAGTAAGTTTCACATATTCATATTCTTTTGGTGATGATATAAGATTTTGGTGAGGAAGCTCTCTTAGTTCTTGTTTTTATTTGACTGCTGCTATTTTGGAGTGAAAGATGCTATGTATAAGGTCATGTCAGCAATTTCATTTGTACTTTGCTTGTACTTTTCCAGTCCTGAACAAGTTTTTTTCTTTTCCATTACTTAAAGAAAGTTTTCATAAGCCAGGTGCTGGTGGCTTTTTCAGGATTTCTGGTGGCTTTTTCATGATTACTCTTGTAATCCTGACTACTCAGAAGGCTGAGATCTGAGGCTCATTTTTCAGTGCCGTCCTTTATTTCCAGTTAACCACTAAACAGCTGAAGTGGAGCTGTGGTTCAAGTGGTAGAGCATTAGCTTTGAGCAAAAAAGCTCAGTTATAGTGCCCAGGCCCTGAGTTCAAGCACACACACAGATTTTTTAAAAATCTAAACTGTAGTACTCAGGAACTAGCAAGTTTATTGTTAACTTTTTTTTTTAAACAGCATTTCTCCAAAAAGTGATACAATAGGTTACTTTTTTAAATCCTATATTATTATGATCATTAATTTTCTTTTCTGTAACTTATGTAAACTAATGTGAAATTATTTTGGTTAATATGAAAATGATCCCATTTTGTTTTTCTATAAAATTTCTACTCCTTAAATGATCATTTTATTGTTACAAGTAAACAAAGATTATTCTCTTTTTCTTTCTTATGCCTCTTAACCTTTTGTAGAGGGAAGAAGGAATAGCTTCATTATTTCTAAAACTGAGATTTTTTTTTTACACTGTCCAGTTATTTTACTTAGAATACTTTTTCTAGTTTTGTTACAGAACATAGGTTTCTAAAGGTTGTAATTTCTTAGGTGTTTTGAAAATTTAAGAATTAGAACTGATAGGATTTGACTTTGCAGAATTCCTGACTTGTACTAAGTTTGAACTGTCACTTCAAAATTTTACATTATATATTCAAATTTGCAAATGTTGGGTAATGAGTTGGAAAATATATTGCATACTTTATTTCTCTCCAGAATCAATATATTTGTTCAAATCTAAGAACGCTAAGGTTATTTTTATCAAAAAGAAAAAGATACAGTTTAAATGTTGACATACCATCAGTTCTGAGAAGAAATGTGAAAAACATGAAAAAGTATACTTCTTAGAATTTATGAAATCTGGCAGATATGTATTCTGATTTAAGGGCTCTTTTGGTAAGGAGCAAATCCATGTTAATTGAATTGATACAATTCAATATGTATTTATGCAACTGGGCCAGTTATTTTTGTTTATTTACAATTAATTGACCACCTTTCATGCGCAGAACCATATACTAGGTCACATAAGACTTTATTTATTTTTTGCCATTCCTGTGGCTTAAACTTGGAGTCTGGGCATTGTCCCCCAGCTGCTTCCAGCCTTTCTTGAGTGGTGTTGGGAGATAAGAAATCTCATGGACTTTTCCAGCTGGGGCTGGCTTTGAACTAAGCTCCTCAGCTCTCAGCCTCCTGAGTAGGATTATAGGTATAAGCCACCAGCACCTGGCTACATAAGACTTTTTCTGTATTGGAATTTATATGGTCTAGGGAATATTACTTTGAGACTAAGATTTTTTAAAAGCATTCTTTTAAAATTATGACTAGTGAGACATTGTATTAACCCTTAATAAAATGACTGAAATACATTATACAGTAAACAGGAATATGGCTAGAGACAATTTAAATGCAACATTCCAAATACAGAATAGCTTTATAATTTGGAACTATCTTCACCTCTTATTATATATTTTTATTTTAAGCCTTTAGATTCTTAGATCTTTTTACGACATTGCTAAATAGGAAACTCACTACTTGTTCCCTATCTCTAATACCTTTTAAGCTCCTGGTGAGTTACCATAGTGTAACAGTGAGTAGAGATCTAAAAATCCACTTAAATTCTGAACAATCAATTTGGGGTTGCTAAGTGTTTTGTTCTTAGACAGCAACACAAGGAATTCAAATTTATGTCATCTAAATTACAGATTGCTGGGGCTGGGAAGGTTGCTTAGTGGTAGAGCGCTTGCCTTGCATGCCTGAGGCCCTGGGTTCGATTCCTCAGCACCACATAAGCAAAAAGAAAAAAGCCGGAAGTGACGCTGTGGCTCAAGTGGTAGACTAGCCTTGAGCTGAAGAGCTGAGGGACAGCGCCCAGGCCCAGAATTCAGGCCCCACACCCGGACCCCCCAAAAAAAAAATTACAGATTGCTGCATATCATACATAGGTTGATAAGAGTCAAAGCCTCAAGTCTTAAACAGTGTTAAGGATTTAGAATATTAAAAGGTCAGCTAGTTATCAGCAAGTACAGCAACATTATGAAAATTAGAAACCTCATATAGTCAAGAAAAATTGCTTTCTATTCTTGAAATTTAAAGTAAAACTAGTGTTCATTGCCGTTGCAGATTATTGACTCTGACATCAATTGACTGACTATGCGTAAGATACATCTAGGAGTCTTGTTAAAACTGCAGATGATGACTGGGTAGATCTGGAGTGGGACCTGAGATTCTGCATTTCTGACAAGTTCCCAGGTGATGATAGTAGTGTTGATTGAAGTCTAGATTTTTTATATATACATAGATAGGCTGTACTCACCTTTTAATTAGTTTTTTTCCCATTACTGCTGAAAGAGTCTGTGTAGTGCTATGATAGTGTCACCTCTTGGTCATAACTGTAGTAATTCCCAGTCTCAAGTTCATCTTCCTTATCTTGACATATCAATATTTTCAAGTCAGACCCCACCTGTCTTGAACCACATCTCAAGTGTCTCAGCTTCATTTCCAGCAATTTCATGACTTATAGTTTAGTCTTAAACCCAGAAAACTGAATATCTTACGTGAGGGGCCATGGACAACTAAAGTGTGGGCATGAATTTTGGGGGTGTGGTACAAGTTACTGAGACTTGCTAATTCTAGCATAAATAGGCTTAGGACAGATACCATTTGGTTCGTTTTAATTATCTTTTTATTTATCTTTTTATCTATCTATCTATTTATTTTGTCAGTCATGGGGCTTAAACTCTGGGCCTGAGCGCTGTCCCTCAGCTCTTCAGCTCAAGTCGAGCACTCTACCACTTGAGCTACAGCACCACTTCTGGTTTTCTGGTGGTTTTTATTGGAGTTAAGAGTTTCACAGACTTTCCTGCCCTTTTTTTTTTAAAAAAAAAATGGGCCACAGTTCAGACTCATTGTCCATGATATCATTATTATCATCTGTGACTTCTGTTTTCTCTTGCTAATGCAAGATACTAATTATTGCATACCTAAAGACTACTTTGCTAAGTGGAATGTCTCAGATAATCTGAGTTTAAACATGGTATTACTAGCTGTAAAATTTTGAGAAAATGACCATAATCTGAGGTTGTTTCCTGTTATGTGAAATAGGAATGATGATTTTTAGAGTTCTGGATTAAATGACTACTAGTTAGTATGGTGTTTGTAATGGGCAATCTAAATGTTTTTTGCTTTAATGAAAATAGAAGAATCTATTAATTTGAATATAAAATGGCTTTATATCATTAAGTTTTTCCACTTGTATTTTGGTTTCTGTATCTTGAGTAACTGAATCAGTATTGTAGGGAAAGGAAGGCATAGTTTTTGTGGCTTTACTTCTTCTTGTTTTGAGTTCTTTGATTTTTGCCTAGGCAAGAGGAGTAACTTGAGAATGAAGAAAGCCTTCCCAGAATCTCCAGGATCTAAGAAATAGCCTTTTGAATGGCCCTGTATGTAAACCAGTAGTCTTCCTAGTTATTGGAATGGCTGAGTTTAGTGGTAAAATCCTTCAGCAGCCCTCACTGTGATAAGGAATTTGAGTTGTGACCCATCCACAATGCTTCCTCTTAGTTTTAGGATGAGTGTACAACACAGCATTGTTTGTACTGAAATTAAGGGTATATTGAAGTTTGAAAGTGTTTTACAACTGCTGCCTTGGTAGGTTTGTCCAGAAATACTATTCTATAACCTGAAAAATGTTTTAAATTTCTTGTGTGAAAAACTGCATATCCATTTTACTGATTTAATCATTGTGGCAGGGTTGCATTATTTCTAACAAATAGACATGTTTCTATACTAGAAAAGAATGGAATAAAAGAACTGTCTTTAAGTGGATTATAATGTATCTTGTTGTTAGAATCATTCCTTTTGTTATTGTGGAGTTTTGTGGTGGTGATGGTGGTTTTAGATTTTATTTTTTTGTTAGACGAAGTCATCACTGCATAGAGATGGAATCAGGCTAGAATGAAGTTCATTTAGCCAGGTTTCTTCTATACTTAGATATAACTCCTAGAAAGTTTTAATATCCATGTATTTTACAAAAGTCTTAGTGTGTGTTTTTCCTAGTGATTTTAAAAAATTATTATTTTTTTATAGTCACTAGGTCCCAGTGTCTAAGACACCTCCCTCCCTCTGCCCCGCCTATAAACACGTGCTTTCTGAAACCTATGGGCAGCACAGCCCAGCAGTATCTTTCCCAGTATGTCTGCTCAGTCTTTTTGCCAAGAATTTGAAGAGGAAGATTGAATGATTGTTTCTGGGAGTCTGTGCATAGTGAAGGTCTGGCATATTCATGTAAATGAGGTCATTGTTTAGCTTCAGCAGGGGAAGAAATCTAGGCAGGAGTTTTTGAAATGGGAAACAGATAAAGCAGCTAGTTTTGTTCACCTGCATTCAAATTGCATACTTTCCAAATGAAATCTCCTAAATGAGAATTAAATTTCTAACTTTCTTTCCTTTTTCTTTTCCTAATCCCTTTCCTCCTCCTCTTTCCCCTTTCTCCTTTCCCCTTCCCCTTTCTTCTGTCTGTCACTCCCCCACCCCCCACCCATTCATTAGTTCTCATACTTTTTAAGTTGGTGATTGTGCAGCTAAAAATGACCACCATGCATGGTACTGGATTGCCCTATAATGTTTTTGTGTGCTGAAAGACTGATGAATACCTTATGGAGAAAGTAACATGTTAGATAAAGCTTCATTCTGGCATGAGTTATATATATTACATAAGATAGTCTGTGATCAGAATAACCCATGAAAATGATGCATTAAGCTGTTTTTGTTTGTTTAGTTTTTTTTTTTTTTGTCTTTTTGATGTTGTAGTATTTTGGTGCTAGTGTCTGTCTTGAACTTAGATATCTGGCTGGCATTTTTGCTCATGGCCGGCACTCTACCATTTGAGCTACATCTCCAGTCCAGTATTTTGGACTCTTCTGACAGAACACTCTTTGAATCAAGTTCCTCTAGGTCTCATGCTCCTGACTATCCAGAATTACAAGCAGCCACCAGAGCTTGGCTTATAGTACTGTTCATGAAAAATTTTGCAACCAGAAGTTTATAAGAACCATTTTTTCCCAGAACCTGGAGTTCAAGTTTATTAATTCAGTGGTTGTAGTGTCTTCATAAACATAATATCACAAAGAAAATTAACTGTTTAATCATGGTTATTGTAGAGACTTTATGTGTTGGGAATATTGTAAAGACCCCTGCCTTACCCCAAACTCTTGTTTCTGCTTTTTAAATACTTGCTTTGCAATATTGTATTGTGGAACCTAATATAAAAGTGTTTGCATTAAAGAAAAATGTCATACTTTTTTGTTAAAAATTTTGTTTGGAATTGCTGGGGATTAAAGAAACATACCCGATTTTCCTCCATAATAATAATAAGTATCTGAGGCATATTGAGTGTGTAATGAATATTTGTTTAGAGTAATGATTATTTTTATTTGTTTTTTTTTTTTTTAAACTTTTGGTCATCCTAGAGTTGGAACTTAGGGCCTCAGAGTTGTTTAGTTTGCTTGCTTTGCTGGCACTACCAGTGAGTCATCTCTCTAGCTTACTTTTTTGATGGTTGTTTTTTGAGATGGAGTCTCATGATCTTTTTTGCCTAGAATGGCCTCAAATTATGATCCTCTGGATCTTAGTCCCCTGATAAGTAGGATTACGTGCATGAGCCAACAGTGCCTGGCTTGAGTAATAATATATGAACACTATAATGATCTTAGTTTTGGAAAAGAAAGCAGTATTAATGTTAGAGAATAATCTTTTAAGATTTTATTATGTATTACTATAGACTGAAGTACATGAAATGTTCAGGTAAGTGTCGGTTCTTGTTTGCACTTTGCTTGACGCTAGCAGTCTTGATCTCTTTGAACCTCAATTGCCTCAGTTCCCTTGTCTGTGAAGTGAGGAACATTTCAACTTTAGGATTCCTTGGATTTCTTTTATTGGGACTGTTCCTGCCCTGACTCATTTCCATTCTCATGATGTCTGTTTGCCAAGAGTACAGTTTTTTCAAAATTGTGCAATATGTCAAAATACATTTCCTATCAAATTTTATCATGTCACTAGTTATTGGTAAAAACATGAGTTATGTATTTGAGATGGTGAATTATGTTCTTGACATTGTGTACATCTGTTATAAACAGAGGAATATCATGGTTTGGTTTTTTTGTTTTTGTTTTTTTTTTTTTGGTCCAGTGTGGGGCCTGAACTCTGGGCCTGGGCGCTGTCCCTCAGCTCTTCAGCTCAAGGCTAGCACTCTACCACTTGAGCCACAGCGCCAATTCTGGCTTTTTTTCTTTTTGCTTATGTGGTGCTGAGGAATCGAACCCAGGGCCTCATGCATGCAAGGCAAGTGCTCTATCACTGAGCCACCTTCCCAGCCCCTCTTTTTTTTGTTTTTAGGGTATGGAATACTGTTTGTTGATATTTGTGTTTTATATGACTTAATGTTCTAAATCATACAAAGTTTTCTCTAATGAGAATTAGGGGTGTGTGTGTGTGTGTGTGTGTGTGTGTGTGTGTGTGTGTGTGGTAGTGGTGTGTTTTCCTCCCAGTTGTGCGTGAGAATTAGGGGTGTGTGTGTGGGGGGGGGTAGTGGTGTGTTTTCCTCCCAGTTGTGCGGCTTTAACTTGGGGCCTGGGTGCTGTCCCTGAGCTGTTTTGCTTAACCACTTTGAGCCACAGTGCCACTTCTGCTTTTCTGGTGGTTAATTGGAGATAAGCATCTCCTGGACTTTCCTGATTGGGCTGGCTTTGGACCACCATCCTCAGATCTCAGCCTCCTCAGTAGTTAGGATTACAGCTGTGAGCCACTGGCACCGGGTGAGAATTACAGTTTTAAAAGCAAAATAAAATTTAAAATATAAAACTTTTTTAGTAACAAGTTTTAGGTCATGGTGTTTAATTTTTTTTAATGTAGATAATGTGTTAACTCTATGCTCAGCAACCTTGAACTTGTCCACTTAAGATATATCATCAAAGGCTAAAGTTCAGTAACAAACCTGCTGAAGGATGCTCCATCAGACTCTGAGCTGAACCTTTGTTACAGAGCAAAAGTAAATATTCCAAATACAAAATTTGAGAAATACAGCTAAAAAGAAATACATTTAAAACATCTATCATATTACTTCTGCTTTAAAGGTGATTTTGAAAAACTATCTTGCAGTAAATATAAAAATCATATTGTACTTAGAAGATAATTTCTTAAAAGATATCCTTGTCTTCACATATGTTTATGAACATATTTAAGGATGTACACACATGATCTACCTCATGAATTATTTTATCTTGAACATCTGGCTTTTGGTTTTTATTTTTATTTTTGTCTCATTTTTATGCTTTTGTTGATGAAGCTGAAATGAGCATCTTCTGTATAATTTTTGTTTGTTTTTCTGTTTTAGGATTGCTTCCTTAGGATAGATTGCCAGAAGTGGAGTTACTGGGTCAGAGGGTATGAACTTAAGACCTTTTTCTTTCTTTCTTTTTTTTTAATAGAATTTTTAATTCTGCTGTCCAGTTGATTATATTCATTGAGAAAGGGAAAATACAATGACTGTATTTGTATAGCTGATGGTAAGATTCTATGACTAGAAAAGTGTTGGGGAAATTTCTAGGATATATAAACTTTGTGAACATGATTTACCTCAGCATTCCCCGAACTTCAGTGGGCACTGAGTAATTTTTTTGTGATGCATTTCTTAATATTTTGTGTCTTACACAGGGTAAAATCTTTGAACTGATCCAGAACTAATTTGTTTTATTGGTTAAATTATATTTATGGGCTAACGCAGCTAGATTAAACTAGGAATAGTTAAAAAGAAGGATACTAAAGGATATTAAAAAGGATAGTATGAGTCTTTAAAAGGCCCAAAACTTTAATAATAATTTATACTTTCTACATTGATTACTAAAGATTATGTTAATACCTAGAGAGTATCAAATGCTTTTGTAGTCTTTAATAATACTTTGAATATAGACCTATAACATGAAAGTAGAGATAATATTTTTTTCCTCCCTGTTTTCTCACAGAATGTGAAAACCTTTGCATCTTCTGATAGTCTAGCCAAGGTCCAAGAAGTAGCAAGCTGGCTTTTGGAAATGAATCAAGAACTGCTCTCTGTGGGCAGCAAAAGACGACGAACTGGAGGCCCTCTGAGAGGTAACTCTTCTTCAAGCCAGGTAGATGAGGAACAGATGAATCGTGTGGTAGAGGAGGAGCAGCAGCAGCAACTAAGACACCAAGAGGAGGAGGAGCACACTGCAAGGAATGGTGACATTGTCCGAGCAGAACCTAGACCTGGAGACCAAAATGATTCCCAGCAAGGACAAGTGGAAGAAAACAATAATCGATTTATTTCAGTAGAAGAGGACTCCTTGGGAAACCAAGAAGAACAAGAGGAAGATGAAGAACATGGTGGTGAACAAGATGAGGAAGATGAAGAAGAGGAGGAAATGGACCAGGAGAGTGATGATTTTGATCAGTCTGATGACAGTAGCAGAGAAGATGAACATACACATAGTAACAGTGTCACAAACTCTAGTAGTATGGTGGACCTGCCCATTCACCAGCTCTCCTCCCCGTTCTATACAAAGACAACAAAAGTAAGTATATTCAGTTTATGGTAAACTTGACATAACTTTCATACTTCTATCTTAATTGGGATAATGTTATTTTCACTGTCTTTGTGTTGCTGCCAATGAAACTTCACATCTGAATTAATATAGTGAACTAATATTTACTTTATAGAAAATATTAGAAAGTATCACAAATAGAAATAGTGATCATGGGGTAATAAAATAAGAAGGAAATTGATCTTGTTTGCAATGAAAAATTATTAACATCAATTTTCTGCTCTCTGCTGGGGCAAAAAGGGAGTAGTAGTTTGTGTGGGGTATAGAATCTTTGAGTGAAATGCAATTTGTGTAAAGCAATGATAAGTCTTTGCAAAGTATGGCCAGTGTCACGTGTTACTCTTAAAAGGCAAAGGCATAAATTACTGGAAATTGCCTCAAATTAGTTCTTTATCATTTGAAAATTAAGTAGAAACCATTAATATTAGTATTATTAATAGGTTAACTATGGTTGGGAACAGAATTTTTTATTATGAATAATATTTTGAATAATATTTATAGATGTAAAATAATGTTTGTAGTAGTCCATTCTTATTTGCTAATGTTTATTTATTTATTTTTTGCTAATGTTTAAATTTTACAGTGAATCACTGATGTAGCCCATAAATAGTACATTAAAAGATTTGATATCACTTCCTTCTATCTAACTTGACCTACTATTGAAGTATCTTAACTCATATGGGTAAAAATTTGCATTGCTAAGTTATTTTTGCTTCAGTTTGTAAAACTTGGACTCTTAACAAATATGTTTTTATAATTTCTATAGCTCATGTACAGTTAGATTTTATTTAGTTGCTGTGACCTAGGAAAGAAATGATATTATATGCTGGTTTTCTACTTTACCATCCTCTCCTCAAGATGTTAAAGCAAAAGCTTTGAATCTCTGCCAGATGTATCTACTAATGGCAACTGTAGCCCTGTTTTCTTACCCAGCTCCTTGTCTCCTAGTCTTGATTTTACTTTCTCATGGCTACTATATCAAAAAGAAAATTTCTCCTTTACCTGAAGGTTCAGCTGGAGGACTTGGGGCTTTAGAATTTCAGATCCCAGTGCATTATCTAAATAGGAAAAAGTTTAAACAAAACCAAGACTTGTTGAAGAATGCAAACCAGTTAAGATTTTGGTTACATTTTAAAAATAAAAGGCCCAGTGTGGTGGCACATACTTGTAATTCCAGTTCTTAGGAGGGGATCTTGAGTTTGAGGCTAACCAGAGCTGAACTGCAAGTGACAGACCAAGATCCTTTCTCAAAATCACAACAGAGTAAACATACCAAATCTAGATAGGTAACTTCCCCCCCCCCCCCCAAATGGAGCATTCTATAGGTTAACTAGAATTACTCTGATTTGACTGGTGTTTTATTTTTGGTTTCTCTATGTAGCCATAAAAGAACATTTAGGTATTCCTTATAACTGAAAATAACTTATTTAAAAAACAGCCTTATAGGCCAGGTGTAGTGGCTCATGCCTGTAATCCTAGCTACTCAGAAGGCTGAGATCTGAGCATCGTGGTTCAAAGCCAGTTTGGGCAGGAAAATCCATGAGCCTCTTATCTCTAATTAGCCACCAGAAAACAGGAAGTGGCCCTGTGTCTCAAGTGGTAGAACACTAGCCTTGAGCTCAAGAGCTCAGGGATAGCATTCAAGCCCTACAACAATAACAACAACAAAAAGTAAACTAAGCCTTGTAAAAACTCAGGATATCTTTTTTTTTAGTAAGTTTTTTATTGTGAAAATACTGTATAGAGGGGTTACAGTTACATGAGCAAGGTAATAAGTACATTTCTTATCAAGCATTGTTGCCTTCTTTGTTTTTCCCCTAGCACCCTTCCCTCCCACCTCCTCAACTCCCCTCCCCCATCTCTCCTCCTTGCCTAAATTGTAAAGTTTGTTTTTTGACGGACTGTCTTGTACATACAGGTTGACCCATTGCAACAATGAGATGTACAAAAGACACTATTTCAAAAACTCATGGTATCTTGATACATTTGTTTAAGCTTTTTCTTTTAAATGTCTCACTCATAACCTGTTAAGATTTATTTCAGATCTGTCCAATTAGGCTGTATTTCATATCTTATTTGCTGTTAGGGATGTTTCACTTAATTCTGAGAAAAATTCTGTCCCTTCTTTGTAACTTACATTGTAGTAATTAGTTACATTCTGTCTTGTTTTACTTATTTATGGGGGATGACATACTATGATCTCAGTATACCCTATATCAATAAGGGGTACATTCTTGGATCACTGTTAACTCTGCTTTCAAAAAGTTGTAATTTGAAATTATTAATTACTTAAGGTCTAAGCAAGTGAAAGACAAAGCTAGTGGTAAAATGTATCTTGCTTATAAATCAGTGTTCTGTCCCTTAGACACAAGTAGAATACATACAAATATTTTTTAATCTATAACAAGTTTAAGGCCCTTTAAAAATTCTCAAGAATACCAGTTTTACAATCATTATCCAGTAATTGCTCATGTATGTGATGGCTTATGTCTAATCATAGCCACTCAGGAGGAGATAGGATCGAGGTTTGAAGCCAGCCTAGACAAAAATGACAAGACCTTATATAAAAACAATTAATTCAAAGCAAAAAGGACTAGGGACATGGCTTTAATAGTAAAGTGCTTGCCTATGATCCTGAGTTCAAACCTCCATACATCAAAAAAGGAAGCACTGTCTTCACCATCCCCATTTAACATTGGGATCTTTCTGTAGGAAAAACTCAAAGCATCCTAGAATTCTTTTGTTCAAAATAGGGAAGTACTTCAAAAGAAAGTATGTAAATCTACAAAAGATAGAAAATAGCTTTTAGTAGAAGTATATTTTGCGTACTTAATAATGATTTTTGCTGTAGTTTTTCTACTAAACACTAGAGGGCTCCATAGCACCTTATTTCTGTGATAGAGCTGCTTTCATGGGTTTAAAAATACTATGCTTGTCTCTTGTTCAGAACTTGGAATATTTGGAGCAGTTATGTGCATTGTTTTACATTGTTTTATACCTACAGAGGATTTTTATTTTAAGTAACCCAGTAGGTTTTTTTTTTGTTTGTTTGCTTGATTTTGTTCTTGTTAACTTTGTAACAAAAAGTGTTAGTGACTCTTGGGATAAATGTCTGTTATGTTCAAATTTACTGTGATTTGGAAATTTGAGTACACATTTTGAAAAAGTCTCAAGGATCTGCCTAAAATCAAAACTCTTTCCATGATTAGTTGCTCTGGGCTTCTTGAGCATATATATGTGAGAAAAGAATGACATGTAAAGTGTCATCGTTTCCTTCCTTCCTTCCTTCCTTCCTTCCTTCCTTCCTTCCTTCCTTCCTTCCTTCCTTCCTTCCTTCTCCCTCTCCCCCCTTCTCTCCCCCTCCCTCCCCCCTCTCCTCCTTCCTTCCTTTCTCTCTCTCTGTCTCTGTCTCTCTCTCTCTCTCTCTGTCTCTCTCTCTCTCTGTCTCTCTCTTTCTTCTAGTACCAAGGTTTGAGTTCAGGGACCTCATGCTTGCTTAGCCATTTGTTTTGGCTGGCTCATTTACTCAGTCAGCTGGCAGTCTACTTGTTGATCATACCACCAGCCTGGAATTTTGCTGGTTATTTTGGATATGGAATCTCACAGACTTTTAACCACCATCTTAAAGATCTCAGGTGTCCTGAATAGCTAGGATTACAGGCATGAGCCACCACCCACAGAGAGTCGTTTATGTCCAAATTAACCCTATTAGCATAGAAGGTAAGGCCCGAGGTATACCCACTGAGGCATCTTGAACTAAAGACTATTTGAACAGTTCAGTTGATTTTCCTCATTTTCTTCTGGGATCTTTTAGGGAAAGAAATGAGGTTTGTAACCACAGGCCCTAAGCAGGTAGTTATGAATTGAAGTAAGCTGGTAGTAAAATATAGTTCAGCCACTCATAAGAAGCTACTCCAATACTATTCAAAGTGGAACACTGAACTGGCTTCATGGGAAACATTTGGAGTGCTTATTTAAAAATGCTGGTTGGGAAGAGGTAGGAACATAGCCTGAGTGTTAGAGTGCTTATCTAGCATGGGAAAGGCCCTAGGTTCAATCCCAGTGCTACAGGATACTGCAGGAAAAATTAAATACGGTAAAAAGGAAAAAAAAATATGGCGAATAGAGATGAAGACAATAGATAAGATTAGAGATAACATGCACACATCAATTGTATGTGGAAAAAACATGGAGGTTAGTAAGAATATTCCACAATCATTTAACTAGACTCTCGGGTTAAGATGTTCATTTTTAATAAGCTTTCACATGATTCTTATGTAGATGTAAGTTTGTAGAAAACTGGCCCATAATTTAATATCATTGCTAATTTGTAATGAAATTACAATAGTATGTTGAGTCATCAAGTGTATTAGAATCATCAATAATGGTAGTCAGGGAGTGTCATCTCTGAAGGCACATGAGAGTGTTTTCAAATACTCATCTCTGCATAGTAAGTTGATTGTGAAACATTTAACCTCTTCATGTGGTACCGAAAAGGATGGTGGTAGTAGTTGTCATACAGTGTAATTGAGGAGTCAATGAAATAATGTATGGAAGATACTCAGGTATCTTGATAGTTGTAAAGGTTAGCTTATTACATCTTTCATAAGGGCAATTCTAATTCCATAGGTGTATGCTAAAACTAGGTTAACTCGTTCAGCATAAATAACATATTACCAAAATGTTTTTCTTTCTTAAGATGCTCTCTCTTAAGTGAGTTGAACCTGTCCTCAGTTATTTTTGCCTAAGTTATTATGGCCTTTAGCGTAAGAATTTTAGCTCTTTGTTTTGTTAGTGCTAACTTTTGGTCCCTAGTAAGTAATTATTTGTTAATGCTAATACTATAGAAAGATTTTTTTTGGGGGGGGAACCTAAAAGAAAAAGTTGATAATCTTGGGGCATTGAATCATAACATGAAAATGGTCAGTAGTAGCAACTCAGGAGGCTGAAACCTGGAGGATAGTGACTTG